GGGTTAAACAGCCATACAATTCTATCTCCTCGGCACAGTCCTGTGTGTTCTTCAAGGGTTACGACTCCCCCACAGGCCTTGGCTTCCCACGGATTAAGTGTTCTCGAATGTAATCTACAGTATTTCATATGCCGTGGGCGATAATGAAGGAGAATTTGGTTCTGGCATGAACAGGCTTGGCCACAGTCCTGGAATGCACATCCCACTCCAGTGCCCGAGTTCAGGCATGGACGGGGGTGGGGGAGTAGATGCGGATGCCCTTTTGCCCCTGCACAGACTGTTTTAGCACTTTGACAGGCCATCAAGCCATCTGAATCCTCGCTACCACGCGACCAAAGAGGCACAATTGCCAGGCTTGTTCCAATCGGCATGAGGCACAATTTGCTGAAGAAAGAGCGACCTGTTGGTCTGAGAGCTCATAAGCCTCTAATCCAGTGCAGCATGCAAGGAACTGGAAGCTGTGTTCAAGATGCTGTAGGAACCTTAACGCTCAGGCAATTAACATTGCAGGTTGTACTCTGGGTGAACATGGATTTTGGGAGTGCAGGGCTTGCACGTTAAAGAGCAAGTCAGGCGAAAGGACAAAGGCCCTTTTGCAGCGCACTCGCCCGCCCTGTGGGGCTGGGGTCATTGCCTGATGCACGGTACCAAACATCTGCACCCTCACCTCACCCAAGGGGAAAGGGCAGCCCCGGGGAAACACCAAGGTCAAAGGCCTAGAGCTGATGGGCTGGCTGTATGGTGATTGATCTGCTTTGGTTTGTTTCACAGGGCAGGTACAGCTCTGTGCCCAGCAGCGAGAGGTGCTGGATCAACCAGCTCTCTGTCTGTCCGGGCAGCACAAACATCTCCTCACCATGTTGCCAAGACACCACCCAGCTTACCCTGGAAGTACCGCCCTGGGGAGAGCCTGTTCAGTTCTCCTTCCTTGGCCGAGGACATCAGCTAAGCTACCACTAACGTTAACCAGCCTGGTGGCTTTTGGGATCTAGCCTGGGAGTAGCAGAGACCTTCCAACACACGGTAACTGCCAGCAGCCATGCCGGAGAGGCTCCCTATCCCCTGCCTGGTCAGTCGGATACAGTCCAACAGCTGTAAAACATCCCTACCCTCCAGAGGGTCCTTGGCAAGCCCCAGCTGGCTGATGATGTACCGCGGGATATCCGTTTTTATTCCTTGGCCTACTTTAGCATGTCCTTCCACGGCTTCCAGAAGATGATAGAATTCCTCAGGATCAAACTCCTAGCCAAAGAAGAACAAGCACAGTCAAGAAGCAAGTTCTGAGTCCCTAGATCAGGGTGGCCAACCCGTGGCTCGCGAGCCGCATGTGGCTCTTCTCCCCCAAAAGTGCAGCACGTGAAGCTGCTCCTGAGCCCCCCAAAACAGTCCCCTCCCCAACCCCTGGCTCCCCTGTGCGGCAATTCAAAATGGCCCAAGAGGACAGCCGTCGATAGGCACCTGATATGGCCAAAAAACATAAGCTTGTTTCTTAAAGGGGCAGCCTCCTTTCCCCTCCCCCTTGACAATTCCGGTGCGGCTCTTCGCGTTTTTTCCACCGCTGTTTCAGCTCTCTTTGTTAAATGGGTTGGCTTCCCCCGCTACAGCTCACAGGCGTGTGTCTATTCTCCAACAGAATCTGAGTGTCTACCACTGACTCGGTTCCTTTTCAGTCTGGAGTTACAGGATGCTACCAGGGCATCAGAACTCCGCAGGAGAACTCTAGCTCCCCTGATCTGTGTTTCCAGTATAATCTCTCCTTGTAAAAAGCCAGCCACGTGCCCACGCCCCAGAATTCAGGGGCAGAGGTGGTGTATCACACTACTCTTTTCAGCTCTGAGGCACTAAAATGATTCCCGGGCAAACCCTATTGGGAGAGATTTGGAAACGTACCACAGATAACTACATTTTCAAGGTGAATTAATAACCCAAGGAGAATGTGTGTTGGAGGTTAAGCGTAATGGATAAAAGCTAGAGACGGACAAGAAAAGAAAAACAGATAAGACATTCCCACCTCACTAGGAAACCCAGCACCGTCCTGTTCTGTAATATTCCTTAACCCAGGGGCCGGAAACCTTTCCAAAGCAAAGAGCTAAACTACATTAAAATTCAGAACAAGTGGTCAACAAATAGCCAGTATGAGAACGCCCATTTGCATGACTGAAAATATACAACTTAATATTACTGGTAATTGACATGATGATTAATAAATAAAGTCTGTGTCATTGATGCTATTAAAGGGACTTCTGCTTCCGTTCACACATTTCTTTGAAGTTGACATCATAACTGGTCAAATTCAGATTCATGCCGCATTCAAGCTACAGGAGTCATTACACGTTTTTTAAATTTTGAATTAATTTTTCATTTTAATTTAAAAAGTTGCCTGCATTTGGGGAGTGACCGGAGAGCCAGATTTGGTTCCATACTGAACCATATTTAGCTTGAGAGCCATCGGTTGCAGACCCCTGGATCTAAAGATCTCCATGTCTGTATCTCCTCTCTCCACCCCAGCGGTGAGGCTGACGCCCAGGCGCCGGGATGGCGAGTTCGGTGAAGCTTGAGCAGGGTGACTCGGTCGCTGTGCACACGACGGAGCAGCTGCACGGCTGTTCACTTGCGGGGTGCACGAATGGGGATCAAGCTGTTCTGCTGGAAATGAGTCTGACTCCCTGAGTAACAAGCTCTTCCCTGCCCTGGCATCCCCGGGACAGACCTGCGCCCGCGGACAGTACCCCTTACCAAGCACTCCAGAAGGCGGGCAGGGCGGGATATTATCAGCAGCAGCTTCCTAACCAGCTGGTCAATGAACCTCACTTCCTCGCTCTCCGAACGCTCCTGGGCCTGTAAGGGAGACAAAGGACCAGGTCACCGAACAGCCCGTTGGGGGTAGGGCCAAGGGGCAGGGCGGGGGCAGGGCAGGGCGCACTCCCAGGCACTCACATCATGGAGCATCTTCTCCAGCTTCTCTTGCAGCTCCATGAAGTAGCGCGAAGTGATGAGCGCCTGCTGGGACTTGGCCAGGCAGTCTCGGGCCAGCTCGATGATCTGGTGGTGGATGAAGCCCAGCACGCCGTCGGCAAGGGGCAGCGTGCTGCTCGAGGAGTAGCTGGTGATGGTGCCCTGCAGGCGCTCCTCCATCTGCGCTGTGGCCTGTGGGGCGGAGCAGGCGACCGCATGAATCCACCTTCGGGTGTGAGCCAGCAGCACGGCCGACCCGGCGCCCGCCCGCTCCTGCTGCCTGTGCGCTGCCCCGGCGCAAGCCAGGGCCTGCTTAAGCGCAACTCGTTTCTACTAGGGATGTTAAAACGCGTTTAGTTCTGAAAACGTGGAACCGCAGAAAGTTACATGTGGGGGGGCCAGGTGGGAGCTGGTGCTTGTGGGAAGCCGGCTCCCTGCGAGCACCGGCTCCTGCCTGGACCCTCCTCTCCCCACCGTGCTGCTGCTCTGTGTGAGGCAGCAGCGCCAGCGGGAGGGCGGGCAGCTCTGCAGGAGCCAGCATGCGGCAGGTGGTCACTTTAAGGGAGTCAGCTCCCACCTCCCCCCCACCTCTGATACAGAAGCAGCAACGGGGTGGGGGGGGGGAGCTGCATGTAACCGTTAGGACTAACCAATGAACCCGGTTAATTGTTTCAACGGGTCCACATTCACATCCCTACTAGGGGCCATCCTCAGCTGGAGCGAGCTTGGAGCTATGGCGCTTTGCACCAGCGGAGGCGTGCAGGGGGGCAGCTACCCCAGCGGCTGAACGCCCCAGTGCACGCCAGGCCGGCCACTGCGTCTTATTCAGGCCTCTCGGTAGGAAAGTGCATCAGAGCCAGGTCCTTTCCCAGGGATCCGGCACGGTGCAGCCAGCTCATCCACCCCTCTTCGTAGCAACACGTGAACTCACAGGAAGGAAGAAAACGAAGGGGCTTGCTGCTCCGGTTATCTCCCCGGGCAGGCTTGCCGCTGGGAATTTGCCCTCTGACAAACCAGAGTCTGCTGCCGGAAGCGAGGCTCACTCCGAGCGGCTATGCCCAGGCAATGCAGCGCCCGAGTCCAGAACCCAGCGATCCCAGAACGGGAGGCAGGCACGCCCTGGGCTGTCCTTTCGGACTGCAGCATGCCAGTGGCGTCCAAAATAATTGCACGGATCCTGACACTAGGGCGTGCTGGAAAGAATGCTCCCTTATGCACGCGACTGAGCTGTGTCACGGTGCCCTAGGACCAAGGCAGCTGTCCCAGTAGCCAGAATGAGCGTGGCCCTGCTTTTGTGATGTTATGTCCCCCTAGTCTAGACGATGCTTTAACTGCACTGATATTGCTTCATGAGGAACTCTCAGCCCAGTCCTCGCACGCTGACCCTGACCCTGTTTTAACCACAGCTGGCTCCAGACGCGGGTATTGAGACCGTTCCACACTGCTGCAGTAACACATGCCCCTCGCTGACATGAGGGCTCTTCTGCTCTCCCTCCCCGCCCCCACGTGTGGGTTCCCAGCTTTCCAGCCCCTCCCACGCCGTCCCTGTCGCACACACTGCGGGTCCCAGGAAAAGAACAGAAATGATTTTGCTGGAGACCGACAAGCCGCAATGTTGGAATCATCTTTCCAAGTTCCGGGCAGTTACCTTCGGGAACCGTTCCTTGTAGACGTGATTCATCATAACGATCTCATTATCAAAAGCTCCACTTGTCCGTCCAGGGCTGGGGGGGGAAGAACATGGGTCTCTTCAGAACACCAAGTAATTAGGGCTCTGCGCAGCCTTCAGCGCCTTGGAACACGCGTCACGGTTTGTTTTCTATTCAACTGCCACGTTCCACAAGCCCTTAAAGCACATTCACTCGGCATGACGTGATTCATCATAACGATCTCATTATCAAAAGCTCCACTTGTCCGTCCAGGGCTGGGGGGGGAAGAACATGGGTCTCTTCAGAACACCAAGTAATTAGGGCTCTGCGCAGCCTTCAGCGCCTTGGAACACGCGTCACGGTTTGTTTTCTATTCAACTGCCACGTTCCACAAGCCCTTAAAGCACATTCACTCGGCATCCTGACAACAATTCCCTCAGGGCTTCTCCACCTCCAACACCTCCTGAAGCTCCCC